GAGAGAGAGAGAGAGAGAGAGAGAGAGAGAGAGAGAGAGAGTGAAAAAGAGAGAGAGAGAGAGAGAGAGAGCATGGAGAGCAGACAGACAGACAGACATAAGAAGTGAGAGAGGGAGAGAAGAACAAAAGAAAATAATTATGTACGGCACAAGAAGTAAAGTCAAAGAAACTGGACAGTGGGCATAAACTGCATAAACAGTTCCATCTGTTGAGCAGTGGTAAGGGAACAAGGGAAGGGCTTACAGTGATAGACATGCCGAGTCCCTCGTCCGGATTCTTGTGTACTGTGACCACACGCTTGTCCCCCAGGCCGTGTCTCCTCTTCAGCTCTTGGAAGTTCTGGAAACAGTTGAAAAGGTGTCATTTATTGAAAGAAAAGGAAAAGTGAAGTTAAAACCTCTCCACCCCTACCCACAACCTCTCTGCTACTCCCTTTCTTTTTATCCCATCTCTCCCCCCCACCCCCTTCCCTCAGTACTTTTCACCCCAATAGAATATTACATGTATACATAAGTTTTAGGTTAAAATACACCCACAGGCACCCGCATACCATTTCTAGATAACATGCCAATGGGACGCTGGGGTCTTATGTGACTCAGGTTTTTTACAGTCCGTTCTTACTTCTTTCTTTCTCCCCCCTCTCTACCTAAATAAAAATTCTGATTTCATTTGGGCTTGCAGAAAGGCCTCGGGCTTGAATATTAACTACCAAAAAACAAGTCTGTGATTCGCAGCGTAAAAAAACTTGCAACACAAACCTCAATGCAGGACCGTGTACACAACAGCAGCACAAAATAGAGGAAAAACAGAAAGCGAGCAGTCTCAGTGTGAGAGTTGGAAGAACTAGGGGAGTGCAAGATGCTGTGATGCTGAGAATCTGGCAATCTTGAAAAAATAGCGCCTGCTATAATTATAATCACTCATCCAATGACATGCTTGCAACTTCGTTTATAACAAAGCCTTACGACTCCAATTGCGTTTTCACACAGCCCAGAGCTCCAATCAAATCTAGGATTTGGTTCCCAGTTGTTCTCCTCCGGTATCACGTCAAACACTCCATGTCATGTCTTTGAAAACAAATTGACATCCCCCCTTTTTTTAAAAACTCCCACTCCAATTGGAAGTCCTGAGCTTCGAAAGAGATAAATAAGATTGTGCATAAGTCAATTTTTACTGAATGGAGAAAAATGGCAAAAATCTTGGACTTGGGTCTATATTTGCTTAGGAATAACCTGCAATTTTTCGCTTCAGCGGTAACAGTTGAGTGTCGTGTGCACTATTAATAGACGCTGAAAAGTCTTCTCTTTTCATAGATACCAAGAACTCAATTTTTGCCGCTTTCGACTTTGGCAAAGTCTTGTTATCAGGTCTTCAGTTCTTTGACTACATTAGATATCAAGTGTGAAAGAACTTTGGCGACCCCGACAACCGCTGGTCGTTGACAACACACGCCAAACACAAGGTCACATTACGCGACGGGAATACGCAGTTGAAGCCCAATTTCACTGACTGGAGGTGATGACAAACCCGACTAGGCCGATGCTTGGGGTTTTTTTTTGGCTTTGAAGGTTCTCTTTATGAATGACAGCAGAATGATAAAATTGATTATCTTCAAGATGTCAATACGTGAATAATGCACGAACCGCATGTTCTAACTGTTATACGACCATCATTGGAGAATTCTGGGTGGTAACGAAAGCTAAATCAGGTCTTGACTTTTCCAATTGAGACTGCCTAGTTTCGATATGATACAGACACTTCTGTCATAGCCGCTTGTTTGCACGAAATGCACTTACACACCACATCAGATTTGGTTTTCAAATGTCGGAGAACTGAGCGTATTTCCCCCCTGTCTTTCCTTGCGCAATTCACAGACTTGCTCAAATTCCTGGGACTCTGCGATTTTATTCAAATACCCTGGGCATTCCTCACCCACCCATCCCCAAACCACACACACATTTCTTTTCTTGATTCCCGGGACCTGGTCTAAAAAACAAAGCAAACACCGACTGACACACCAACAGTATGCGCACCACAAGCAAACAAAAAATCCCAACTCACGTGACCAGGTGGTACGGGCAGCTTCTTTTTGCGGAAATTGCGTCCTCGGCAAGCACGTATGACCGTCTTGTGTCGGTGAAGGTGGATCTCAGCCTCCAGCTGGTTCCACAGCTTGTCGTGCTCCGCACCGCGCATGTCACGCCCCAACAGCTGGATCTGCTGAATCCTGGGGAGTTTTAGTTTTAGTTTTAGTAAAAGTTTAACGGCACTTGCAACACAGTAAGGTCATATAAGTGCCGAAAATTAGAGGTGTTACAAGAGAGTAACAAACACAAAAAAGAAGGAGGGGAGATAAAGACGATAGATGTTTGATAGGAAAGATGAAGCGAACCACACCAGAGCACCCGCCAATCACCCACAGACAGGGAGTGAGAGAGAGAGAGAGAAAGACAAAGAGAGAGAGAGAGAGAGAGAGAGAGAGAGAGAGAGAGAGAGAGAAAGAGAG